TTAATGATATCTCTTTACTCACATACTAATAGATATGTGGATATTATAAATAGAAATATTTATAATTAATAAGACATAAAAATTACCTGAGTGATAAGAAAAAGGTGAAAACTATTTCCTATTTACACTGCCCTACATTTTCAATTTTCCTACAAATATTATGCCTTCCTATTTTAAAAATCTGACTTTCAAATGTGGAGTTTGCTTTCAGTATGTTCTTTCCTAAAAAGGAAGAATAGAAATGAGGATTCATTGTTAGGCACAGTACAATGGTCCAGGGGCCACTGCCACTTTTGTTGAAGCAGCTGGCTTAGGCTTCACCTTGTCAATATACTTCATTCTTTCCTATTGTATTGATTAACCATGTTTTCATCAGAGGCCAGGTGATATCCTGAAAATCCACTTGAAGAGAACCTTGGGGATTGGAGGAATCTGAGAGTGGGTGTGTTAGATGCTCTCATTTCACCAGGTAAAAAGAAGTCAGAAAGGTTTACAATGTATCCAAGGCTAGCCAATCAGATTTGAGCAGAAGACCCTGTGGTTTCTGGGATGGTTTGTGCACATAAATGAAGCAAATGAGAAGGGTCTGAGGCACAACAGGGAATTCAGCAAGCCTTTGGCAAATATAAAAATAAAACATCAGACATTGATAAGAATTATAGCCAGACTGACTACACTAAGAGCATGTGTATTTGTAAGAGGAATATTAGTCTAACTATTTTCTTTTCCATTCCTCTTTGTTCACACCTCCAGTCACTGTATCATGTGACTGTTATTTTGGCATCCACCTCTCAATAGGTATGCCTCATAAATCAAAGCTGCTAAGTCCTCTTACCTCACTCACGGTGACTCTTCCTCTCAAGATACTAGTTTCTATTGTTTTAAGCACAACTCATGCAGATATAATTTACCTACAGTGAAACGCACACTTCAGTTTTGACAAATGCATGCACACAAGTAACAACACACCTATCAAGATGTAGAACATTCTTCTATCCCTTCGTAGTCAGTCCACCCTGCTCCCCTGTTCTAGCACCACAGGTTAGTTTTGCCTGTTCTAAAACTTCATATAAATGCAATTATTCGGTATATGCTTTCTTTCTGTCTGGCTTTTTCACTTGTCATGATGTATTCTAAGATTCTTCTGTGCTGTTCACTATTTTTATTTTTGAGACATGCTCTTGCTACGTAACCCAGGCTGACCTTGAACTCATAATCCCTCTGCCTCTGCCTCCGAGGGAGGGTTATTTCAGATGTAAGTGATCGCTCCAGGCTAATTGTTTTATTGTAGAGTAGTGGCCTACTGAACCGTATAGCAATGTCTCTTCCTCTCCTGTCCCCTCATTTGTTGTGGGACACCGAACTATGTCCATTTTGGCACTAACATTTGTCCCAATCTTGGTACCACCTTGTCCAAATAAAAAGTTTTGAAATTTGGATTCTGTTTCTTTTGAGATTTTGCTTTCTACTGCTATTTTGGTATTTCAAGGCTCCCTCCCTCCAACTCCACTTGAGCCATCATAGTACATACATGCAATGAAGAGGCAAGGGAGGGATAAAAGGCATAATAGTGAAAATGGGCAGGCCCATTAAAGGCTAAGTGCAGAAAACAGTATCCTGGCCAGTCTCACAATCTAATCTTGGAATGGGTTGCTAAGGCTTCAGGGGCTGAAAAACAGGCAGCCACAGTGCCTTCGTATTAAGCAGTTATCAGGGCCCCAATGATAACTGTTAAAATTACAGCTTCTGCTTGCAGATCATTCATTAACTAAATGCCAGGCACTGTGCTGATTACTTCACTTAACCCTTAGGCTTGGCACATGTATTGTCCTGAATTCAGGAAAGGCTCCTGGAGGTGTGAAGGGTTTATGAACATGAACAAGTACAAATCACACACGCAAAAGACCTTTCCAGGAGGATAGGTGAGGCAAATCGTACGGACTTTAAGAAAATGAAGGTGTGCACTTTGTTTTTTGGCAGTACTAGGGTTTGAATCCAGCCCTCGAGTTTGCTAGTCAGGTGATTTCCAGCCCGTGCTACGACCCCACCTGAATGTGTTTATTGGCCTTCTGTATAGCCAGTGGAGTCCTGCAACTAAGCAGTATCAATGAATACCGTTCTCTCTACACTGCTGTCTTTTTTTATCAGCACCCTGCAAACCCTCCCTAGTCCCTAACCCTCCTTTGTTCATGTTCACTGACCCTGGGCAAGTGTGTATGGCACGTACCTCCCGGGGAATTACAAACCAGATGGACAACGTAGCTTTGCAAATACAGTAATCCCATACCACTCTCGATAACAAAATAACAAGTACTTAGAGATTTTGGATATAAAGTTACCAATAATTCTGGCCCAAAGCCCTATAAAGCCAAAAGGAAAGTAGTTTAAATTTATCTTTGAGGACTCAATAAAAATGTGGGGTTTTCTTCCTTTAATGCTCTCATTATCCCTCTAGCTGTCTGTCCCTACCCAAAAGATCTTTTAGTATTCTCTCCCTTGCTGTTATTGATTATAATTGTATTTACTGATTTAAAGTAGGAATAATGGAACAAAGTATTCCTTTGTCTGGCAAGAATTCTGTTAATGTAAATTGGGGAAATCCATCCTAGCTGGATGAGCTATGGTTTTGTTACCAGAACTGACAACGTTCCAGGGAGGTCTCCAAAAGGGAGGAGGCCTCCGTCTGGCGCTAGAGTTTGTGATGTCACACAAAAACATGTTTTTTTAGGACACGCTGAGGTAGAGATCAAGAAAGTTTATTAGTAGAGCAAGGCAAAGGAAAGAACATAGTACACAATCTAGACACGGTGCAGGCACATCTGATAACAGGTGCAATGAGTATGAAGTTGTGAGTATTTGTGGTGAAAAATCAGGTTGGGGGGTTGGGTTGAATTTACCTTAGGAGAAGTGCTCCTCTTTGTTCTGACACCTGGTATAATTAGTTGTTTTTGTCTGATCAGTGAAGCCCATACATCTTGCGTCCAGGAGTCATTTTCCCAGGTGATCATTCCCAGGGTAAGAGTCTTTCTTTAAGATAAACTTGCCTAGTTCCCAGATCACACTAATTATTTGGGCAAGTGTGCACCGTCAAAGGGAAAGAACTGCACTTTCACCACTACCACCTCCACTACCTTTTTTTGTTTTAAACTAAATGTTACAGCATGTTGAGAGGTGTAAGGCTTTAAACAAAGACGACAGTGCCTGCGTGCTTTTAATCTAGCCATTTATTAACACAGTGTTTGTCTCTGAATTCCTGGCTGCTGTTTCCCATGCCTCATCTTTCCTGACTTATTTTGCCTCTGTTTAGTGTTTAAAATATGTTACTTATGGTATTAGGAAGAACATAGCTTCCTGTTATTTGTTTATAGGGCTACACCACAAAGTGCTCTGGACTGGGTGGCTAAAAGAGAGAAGTTTATTTCCTCACAGTTCTCAGACTAGAAGTCAGGGATCAAGTAGTTAGCAGCGCTGAGTTCTAAAGCCTTCTTCCTGACTTGTAGATGACGCCTTCTCACTGGGTCCTCCCATGGTCTTTCCTTTGTGTCTTGTGTCTTAGTCTCCTCTTCTTGTAAGGTCACAGTCATATTGGATGAGGGCCCACCCATTTACCCATATTAAGTTAATTACCTTTGCAACTAACTCCAAATACAGTCATGTTATAAGGTTCTGGGATGTTAGTTCTTCAATACACAAACTGGGGCAAGGAGAAACAATTCAACCCATAAAACTTCCTGTCTGCCTCACAGAACTGTTAACCTAACAAAATGAATGCAGTCTGTCCTGCAAGAGAGAGGCTGTTAGGGTGCTTAAATTAGGCGTATCTTCAACTATCTTAAAATCAGTTGTGAAGTGAAACTGCTTGTAAGGAAAGATGTGAGTGGCTATTGTTTTAGAGAGCAAGGGTTTTAAGAGAATGAATGACATCACATGGAAGATCATATCTACCAGCAAGTAGTTTAAATTAAAAGTTTCTCAAATTTGGAAATTTAAGAAACATGAAAAATAATCTGACAATTAAGCATTAATTTCAGAAGATGTGAGGGTTTTTAAAAATTTCTTTGGAGGAGTTGTAGGCTTAAAATAACTTATGCAAAATATGTCAAAAATAGTATGAGAAGCGTGAGCCTGAAATTTGGCATATCCCAGTGAAGTCACTTGTTTATTAAAAACAAAACAAAACAATGAATCATGGAATGAACAAAGGATTCCCATGCTTTGGTTACAAACTTCTGGTATGTGAAACAAACAAACAAAAAATTTCATTTAACATAATAGGGGTTGGGGATATAACCCAAAGGAACAGCACTTGCCTAGCTTGTGTAAGGCCCTGGATTTGATCCCCAGAACCACAAAATATATTAAAATAAAAAATTGGCTAACATAGACAATTCTGTGGTCAATGTAACCAAGAGAAACCACAGGAGCTGGCCTGTGGAAGACAAGAGAGGGAGCACCCAGGAGCCATTATCAAGGTAGAATAAAGGACTTTGTTGTTAAAGTATTATGCAATACACATTTCAAACTGCAACTTCAGGAGTTCAGGTTTGGTCTAAGGCCAATAATAATACTGTTATCCCTCCCACCACTCATTGAAAAGCTTATCAGCTCCTTACATCTCCCAAATGCTTGTTTACTATCTATGCCTGCTTCACCCAGGCCTCAAGCAGAAACCTACACCGAGCTTTCACCCTGGAAGGACCTGCTGGTACATTCGTACAAGGAAATCGACAATCAGAGCATCAGGTCGTGCAGCATCCTAGTTTTAGGGGCAGCGGCTGCCAAGTCAGAGCCAGAGAAGGGGTACAACACTGGGGACAACTGACATGGCTCGTCCCCACCCCCAACCGCGGACCTCACTCCTGGGGTAACCAAAGCCTCCCGGGGCTCCACTAGGGCGCCTGACTGGAGGAGGCGTGGATAACGCGCGGGGCGCAGCCAATCAAAAGCGCCCTTGGCGCTCTGGTCCCCGCCCCTGACCTTCAACGTGGAGCTGACCGCGGACTAGGCGCGTGCGCTTCTGTGCAGTCAGCTGGAGGAACCGAGCCGCCCGCGCCCGGAGCATGTCATCCGGGGGCCAGCCGCTGACTCCGGCCGAGGACCCGCCCTGGCCCGTGCGCCTCTTGCGCACGACCCCGGGACTGCTGCGGATGGACCCGAGCGGCGGCGCGCTGCTGCTGTGCGGCCTCGGCGCGCTGCTGGGCTGGAGCTGGCTGCGCTGGCACCGCGCGCGGGGCATCCCTCCCGGGCCCACGCCCTGGCCGGTGGTGGGCAACTTCGGCCCTGTGCTGCTGCCACCCTTCCTCCGGCGACACAGCTGGCTGAGCCGCCGAGGGAGGGCCTCGGGGGTGGGCCCGCAGGTGCTGCTGGCTAAACTGGCTCGCGTCTACGGCAACGTCTTCAGTTTCTTCATTGGCCACTACATGGTGGTGGTCCTCAACGACTTCCACAGCGTGCGCCAGGCGCTGGTGCAGCAGGCCGAGGTCTTCAGCGACCGCCCCAGGGTGCCGCTCATCTCCATCATCACCAAGGAGAAGGGTGAGCGCGGCCCGCCGGGGCTTTGGGGTCTAGGGCAGAGTGTAGATGGCATACCCGAAGATGATGGGCTCCAGGTGCGTCCGGGCTGCGATGCCCGTGGTGCCTCACACCTGCATCCTGCGAGAAGGGCAATGGTGGGGGTTGGGAGGGCGCCTCCTTTTTCCTGTGCCTTTAAAATCCCACGGTTGTCTTGTTCAGATTCTAAGATCAGAAGTTGGAAACTCGGGGAAGTTGAGGGAGGATTATAGAAGTAAGGGAGGGGACACCAAAGTGTGAACTCAAGTTCCATCCTTCTGCGGGTATTCTCTCCTTTCCAAACGAGGCCTCTTCTGTCTGTGACCCGCTTCTAAACTTTGCCCACGTCAGAAAGACTCACCTGGTGAGTTTTGACTGCAGGAGTCTAATAAGAACATATTTCCTTTAAAGAAGTCCAGACAACACAGAAGGAGCCTTATTAGCACACCTTAGTGTGCTGGCTCACAGCTTGCACAGGTTTGCAGTTTGGAAAACATGATATCTGACGCAGTGGAATAAAGAGCCCCACTCATTGTTTCTCTAACTCCCGCCCCCACCCACACACATAGCTTTGTTTATCATTCTTCTCCTTTATCTTATTGACTGGTAGATTCCCAGCTTCTCTGAGTCACTCCTACCCATCAGTTAGGTATCACCTTAAAGTGTCTTTTCTCCAGGGAAACCTGTTCTAACTATCTAAGTGTGTTAGGCCTCCTTGTTAGAACAAGTTTCACTGTGCACTTTTCCTTCCCGACTTACCAAAACCAAGACTATATAGTTTTGTAACCTTGGGCCTGGAGGTAGGTCTTCACCACTGGACTGTCATCCGGGAGGACAGTCATTACTGCCTGGCACATGCAGGTGCTCAGCAAGTATTTATTAAGTAAATAGACCCTGTCTTTGGAACAGGGTCTGGAGAAATTTAGGTTTATCGGAATTGGATAAAGCCAGTTATGCATCAAGATCTTAAAGTAGATGGAAAGATAATACTTTAAACATGCCACTGAAAAGCAAGCGTCACAGTTTACATGTCACCCTCTCCATTATGTAATTTTCTTTTGCTCCCACCACTGCCTGGAGAAATCCTACCCACTTTGCTTTTCTCTTAAAAAGTAGTGAGAAATACACATAAAATTTGCCATCCTAGCCATTTTTCTTCTTTTTTTGCAGTTACTTTAACTTAGGGCCTCTGGCTTGCTAGGCATGTGCTCTACCACTTGAGCCACTCTGCCAGCCCATTCTAGCCATTTTTAACTGCACAACTCAGTGGTATTAATTATATCTACATTACTATGCAAACTTTGCCAACATATTCATTAAACAATAACTCTAGTCTCTTCCCTAGCCTAGCTCCTGGCCACCACCATTGTACTTTTTGCCTCTGTAAATTTCATTACCCTGGGCACATTGTGTAAGTGGAATCCTACATGTGTTGCTCATGGCTTGTCGGTTTCACTTAGCGTAAGTTCTTAAGGTTCATCATGTGAGAATTTGCTTTTGAAGACTGAGTAATATTCCGCTGTAAGTGTGTAACACATTTTGCTCATCCATTACTTCATAGGTAGACACGTGAGTGCTTCTACCCTTTGAGTGTTGTGAGTAATGCTGCTAGAAACGTCAGGGTAAAACTATCTGTAGGAGTCCCTGCTTTCAATTTGTTGGGGTATATACCTAGAAGTGGAATTGATTGATGAGATAGTTCTTGGGTTTTTTTAGTGGTACTGGGATTTGAACTCAGAGCTCTGTGCTTGCTGGACAGGCACTCTACCACTGAAGCCACTACCCTAGCCCTTTTTGTTCAGTTATTTTTCCATCAGGGTCTCACATTTATGCCCAGGCTGGCCTGAACCCTGATCCTTCTATTTATGCTTCTTGCCATAGCAGGGATGACAGGCACTTGCCTCCACTCTCAGCTTTAATTGGTTTAGATGGGAGTCTTGAGAACTTTTTTTTCAATCTCTGCCTCTCGGGTAGTTGTGATTATAGGTATGAGCCACTGCGCCCAGCTCTCTCATTTTCTGAGGAACTACCCATAGCACATTCCACAGTGGCTGCACTATTTTACATTCCTAGCAGCAAAGCACAGAGGTTCCAGTTTCTCCATTTTGTTCCAAACACTTATTTTCTTTTTGTCATACCTACTTCCAAGACTGTGCTTCCCCATGCCTTCCAGTAGTCCTCAAGTCCTGTCAGTTCCTTTTCAGGTAACATAGCCTACATCCGTCCACTTTTTCTACCTTACTGCCAGCACTCACGCTACCACCATTTCTCATCTGCTACTTCAGAAATGTCCAGATTTCCATTGTAGTTCTTTATCCATGAAGTAGCCATAATGATCTCTTGAAAAGTCATAGTTGACTTCTGTGCCTTGAGAGACCTGCCTCTCGGGCTTTATCTGTCTCCTCTTTATAGATGCATGTTGACTTATGACAGGGTTTTATCCTGATACAATCATCGTGACTTGAAAATACCTTAAATAAAAAAATGCATTTAGTACACCTGGCTATGGACCATGAGAGCTTAGCAACACAGTCCCTTGGAGAGCATTGGTAGTTCGCCCTCACGATTGCACGTCAACTAGGAGGTATGGCCTTCTGCCACTGCTCAGTGTCACAAGTTAATATCACACCACAGGTCACCAGCCAGGAAAAGATCAAAATTCAGGATTCAAAGATGGTTTCTACTAATTTTATATTGCCTTTGCCCCATCATAAAGTTAAGAAATCATAAGGCACCCATTGTAACTCTTTAACTATCTGTACTTTGTGCATTTCAGCCTGGCCCTTGCTGTAGACATGCTAAGTGCATTTGTGCCAAACCTGTGTCTGCCTTGGGCTGGTGCATTTGTCAGCCTCAGGCTTGGCATAACTTTTCATTTGGCTGACTGCCTCTCATCCTTCTAACCTCTCAGCATTGTATTTCTACACTCCCATTTTAGTCACTTCCAGTGCCACACAGCCATTTTCTCATTCACATGTCACTCATTAAACACTTTGAAAGTCTTTAGCTTATTGCCACCCCCACCCACCACTGGAATGTGAGTGAGAAGGAGAAGGCAGACATGTTTCTCTTTTCATCTTTTTTTTCTTCTACAAAATTGGAGAACAGAAGGGCAGAACAGGTTCTGCAGGTGGGGGTGGGGAAAGGGGTAGGACGATGAATACGTAATCATTTATATACCATGTATGTAAATGGAAAAATGACACCTGTTGAAACTATTCCAGGAATGGGGGGGCGGGTGAAGGAGAGCAGTGGAGAGGGTGAATTCAAGTATGATACATTTATACATTGTAAGAAACCTTGTAATTGCTACAGTGTACCTCCACCCAGCACAATAAAAAAAAAAGACAGTATAAAATCAGCCAAAATTTCCTATTTCCATTTTTTCTGATTTTAGTTTTATAATTAGCATATTTCCCCATGTACTCCAAATTAGTATGGTTGCTTACAAGTATGTAAACTCGCTTTGCTTAATTTTAGAATCTTGTTTATTCTTCAGTAACTACTGATATTTCAGATTCTTCATAAAAATCAACCCTGAGAGGATCAGCTACTAAGAATTGAATAGTGTCACCTAAAAATTCATGACTAAAAAAATAAAATAAAAAGGCAGAGATTTGTCAAGCACTGTGACCCCACTGCTTGCACAGAGTAGGTAATCAAAGAAATGAAGAAATGAGTGCATACCAGCATCTCATCAGTGCGCTTACCACACACCATGTCCTTTGTGTTGTGTGTGTCTGCTCCTCTGGGTGTCTTAAGATGGGAAGCAGATTTTCTTCTTGTAGATCCCAGTAGTTTAATGCCAGCTCTCTTTTTTTTTTTTTTGTGGTGCTGGGGTTTGAACTCAGGGCCTACACCTTGAGCCACTCCACCAGCCCTTTTTTGTGATGGGCTATTTCAAGTGACCATCAAAAAAGGAAGAACAAAAGAGTTACAAGTAGCCTTCACAGGTGACAAGTGGACAACATGACCAGACTGAAGAAGTGAGACCACTGCAACCACAGCCCAAGCTGCTGAGGGAGCCTGGAGGACAGCTCAGGCCACCTCTGCCACTGTTTCTAGTCACACACACACACACACACACACACACACACACACAACCTGAGAAATTGTCCATTTCATAAGAGAAAAGAGCTGATATGAGATTAGGAATTATTAAATAGATGATATTTATGATATTTTGAGAGAGATTCACTACTAAAGTTTGTGGAACTAGCAGAGAAGGGACATTTCATAAAATGTGATGTGATAAAAGCTAGACATAGTTGATCTAACACATTTTCAGAAACGTTCTAGAATGTGGAAAGGTTACTTACTTGACTTTTTCACAATCTCGTGATAGATTGATGTTCTTTTTTAAGCCCATAAAAACTATGGTGAGCTAGATAGGCTAGAGATGTTATATATTAGCTGTGCTCCTCATTCTCATTAATCCACCTGATTGTTTTCTTAAGAAGGAAAAGCAAAGAAAGGTGCAAAATCTACAAAAGGAGTGCTCCACTCCAAGTGTGGCCTATTTCCAATAAAAGCTGTATGCAGTAGACCCTTGGTATCTGAGGATATGTGGTTCCAAGGAGAGTGCCACTGAGGAAACTCACATATGCTCAGTTGCACAGAGTTCAGTGTCTTAAAATGACTCAACTTTACCTGTAATGTACGTCCAGTAGGTCTGAGCATCCAGAACTTGAAACCACATGGGGTAAGCTACGTAACTGTCACAAAAATTATGTTGTACACATTAATACTGCACACCAAAAAATAGATCTTACTTCATGCTCTGTATCTTGAATACTGCAGATACTTGATTAATTTTTCCCCTAACACTGCCCAGCTTTCCTTCACTAAAGACAGGCTGCCTTTCAACAGATCTCAGGTCTTCACTTTGTCTCTTCAATTAAGCACATTCACTTTTACCTTGCTTTTGAGCACCATTTGTTTTTTTAGGAGGCAAAATTAAGAGCAGCTCATACAACAATGTAATG